CAGAGACCTAGTGGCTAAATTGGCCATGCTACACTTTGGTAACACGGGTTTCATTCCCAGGTGTGGACTTACACCACTCATTGATGGCCATGCTGTGGCAGCAACCCACATGCAAAATAAAGCTAGATCGGGAAAAATACTAGCTCAGGATGAATCTTAATCAAGCCAAAAGAGGAAGATTGGCAACACATGTTAGCTCAGGGCCACTTTCCCCAGCAAAAAAAAAAAAAAAGAAAAGAAAAGAAAAAAGAAAAAAGAAAAAGAAGAGGAGTATATAATTTATCTAGGGCTGCTGGTTCTGTTAAGTGTCTTTGAGATTTTTGTTTTCTATCTGTAAACTGCAGTGGATCCTGAATTCTTCTAGTTTCCTTAAACATCTGGTACAGAACTCCAGATTAACGTTTTCAATTTTTTTCTGTCCTTTTCATTTGGGATCATTGAAAACTAAAACCACCCTTTTTCCTGAAGGCCTGCAAACTGAAGCTGGACAACTTGGTATAAACGTAAGAGGGAGCACCACGATACTCCATGTTTGGACAATCTTCACACCACTTGCTCCCTAACCCACTCAATAGCTTTGCCTGAATGCCTGGTGACATCATCGGAGAAGTTTTAAACTGCAGGGGGTGCTTCAACCCTGACCTCTAGAGATCCTCTTGGCTGACCATCCCTTGTTCACAGAAATTGATTTACAGTTTGCTCCAATCAATAACCTTGTTTTTCTTCTCGTGTCTCTAGAAATGCTTCTTATTAAATATCTAGTTACCTGCTTCCACGATATAGGCCTAACTTTGGAAGAGCCTTCCTGTGTTCTAAAGATGAGCCAAAAGACCTGGAGGGAACTCAAATCAAGGAGCGAAATGTCGTCAGATGTTTCTCTGCACCATCTTTGTCCTAGAGACTGGGTCCTGTTGAAATCCTGGACTTCATCCCTGCTGGATGGGACCATACAAGAAATGCCACAGGAAACAGGAGCCAGGCCATATTAAAACATCACAACTGGGATCACCCCAACTTTGGATGACTTCATAATCTGGATGCTGACTTTTCTCAATGGACAAATGAACCCCTGACAGACCACAAGTTGCTATACAGAAGATGGTCTCCTAAAGAAATGGAAGGAATGACTCCCAGGTTCTTACCTTACCTGTTGGACTACTGGACAGCAGGCTACTTGGCTACATCACATGTCACCTGAGTTTCTGGGCACGAACCTTGATTGGTTTACAGGCCTCTTTGCCTAGATTCCCCAAGGATTGAGGTCCATTATGCAGAGGGGATACTAAAATTTGGGCTTTCTATTTTGCTAATCTCTGTGGCCATTTATGTAATTATAAAATGTGAACTTCAGTGTTGTTCCAAAGTCATTGATCAGAGTACTAAAATATTAGTCATGCAAAGCACATCTCACTCTCCCGACCTGCTACCCCAAAATATTTTAAGATAAAGGTAAGAGAGTCTCATTCCACTGATCCTGATCTTCACACTTTCACAGGAGGAAGCAGCCAGAGAGGTCTTCCCCTCCATTCCTCAAGACTGGGGAATAATTATGAGACAGTGGGGATCGAAACTGAGGATGAAGATGTTAAAAAATCTTCTCTGGGCTAGAAGAAGAGAAGAAAAACTATGAGATAAGCTTTCCTAACTGCAGCTGTGTGTATTCAGCATAAGCAACTGTTGTTTAAAACTAACCAGGTCTTTCTGTCCCTCCTTAGTATAGGAGTGAGCTGTCTTTCCCTGAATGTCAAGGTGCAGACATCAAGATTTAGTCTTCGCGGCCAAAGGCAGGCTGAAGATGAAAACTAACCAGAAAAGTCCAGAGAGTTAAGTGAAAAGAAATTCAGGCTTCAAGGCCAAAGGCAGGCTGAAGATGAAACCTAACCAGAAAAGTCCAGTAAGTCAAGGGAAAAGCAATTCAGTCTTCAAGGGCAGATGCAGGCTGGTGGGAAGGCACCAATTAGCAAGGTTACAAGCTCCCCTTCCCCTACCTAAAACCCCACGTAAAACCCTCTACCTCTTTCCATTCGAGGAGATGGATCTGAGTTCTAACTCGCTTCTCCTCATATGGCTGCCTTTCGATAGTAAACCTCTTTCCTTGCCAGAAGCCTGGCGTTTCAGATTTTTTCCTTGTTGGCCCTACTGTGTGGTGGGTAAACGATCCCGTGTTTGTGTGCAGCAACAACCATGCTTCTCTGGATTAAATAGCTGAAAAGGAAATACTTTAGGAATCGCTTAGGCAAGTGTTTCTCTTAAGCATACAGCAGGGTGGTATTGCAGATATCAGGGACTGTTTCTGCTTTTCCTCCTCCTTCGATTCCCTCTGTGACCCCAAACCTGCCTCACTTATGACTCTGAGGCTATGTACCTTTGTAGGCAAGGTGGAGAGGGATGGATTACAATGAAAGTGTCAGGTCTTAGGGGACCCCTGAAAGGAAAGGACTGTGAGGAAATTGGGAAAACTCAGTGGTCCCAAATAGGGAACTCTGGAATTGGGACCAGTTTCTGGTACAGTTCTTTTCAGCATGTACGGGCTTGATACATTCTCCTTTCTGCCAACCCTATGTCTATATCTATAGTCCTCTATGTCCATGGATACAGGGATGGGAGAGGATGTCCACTAAAGTTAGGAACGTCGCGCCACTTAAGGTGAACTTTCTGGCCTGGATTATAGGGGAACATTACATGTGCGAGATCACCCAGGCAGGGGGAAGTCAAGTGAAGAAGTATTCCAGAGTTTTCTACTGTGGCTCAGGGAAACAAGGACTTGGTTGTATGGACCTATCATGTACGTGACACCCAGCAGCATCTCAAAGCGGATGTGTTGTGTGGCACTGTTTGTTAGACTCTTGAAGGCTGCTCACTCCTGGACACTTCTTGCATTGAAAAGGCATCTCAGATTTCCCCTGTTCTTGACTCTCTGCGGGCCTGTAATTGCTTTGACCAAAGGAGGATGGAGGAAGTGATGTTATACCCATTACAGAGATAATCTTTAAGAGGACACATAGCTTCTGCCTTGCTGTTTCAAGGATCTGAGCTGCCAAGTAAAGGATCTGCCTATCCAGCTGGACACCCACGTGGATAGGCCCCTCCATGGCAGCGGTATGTGACTGTGAGGTGTCCCTCAAATTGAAGAGTCCTTTAGACATCAGCTGAACACCCTTTGGTGACTCCAGCCTGGTTTATATTTTTAGGGCTCCCTTATACTTCTGATTTGGACAACAAATGGGGTAGAAAATGTAAAAATCTTCCATTCAGACCATGAAAAATAACTTGACAAAATCATTATCTACGTGATTTTAAATGCTCAGCTTCGTGTGAAAAGTGATGGAAGTTACAGTTCACTGAGACCTTTCATAACTGTAGATGCTTGAATGACTGGACCCTTAATGAAAAACTGGAGTTTTCCTAGAGAGAAAGGAAGATGGCAAAGAAAATTCTATTCCACGTCCTTGATTTCGGATGGTGGAAAGTGTCCTTGAGAGTTTGTAATCACAAGAGTGTCCTCATGTAGCTTTGGGGTTCATATACACTGTCATCATGGTCCAAATCATTCCCTGTGGTAAAACTTCTTCAGCGGTTTTCTCATCATCATATATTTTCTAGTAATAAAAAGTAGCTTTTTTCACTTGAGGATTGGAATCACTTTAATACGAGTAGAATTAGCTGTTTGTTGAAAGTCTCACAGGACATACTCTTGTAAGCCTGACCTATGGGATCCTAGCTCATTGAAGACCTCCATTTCTTCAATTCTTCTTAAGCCCTTTTGGTTCGAGTCCTGTAATTTATTTTTATAGAGATTCGTTAAAGAAATGCCTCTGCCTATATTATAATAGAGCTTTTTTATTAAGATTGCATTTTTCCTTTTTCTCCCAAAGCCCCCCGGTACATAGCTGCATATTTTTAAAGATTTTATTTTTTTTTTCCTTTTTCTCCCCAAAGCCCCCCGGTACATAGTTGTGTATTCTTCGTTGTGGGTCCTTCTAGTTGTGGCATGTAGGATGCCGCCTCAGCATGGCTTGATGAGCAGTGCCGTGTCCGTGCCCAGGATTCGAACTGGCGAGACCCTGGGCCGCCAAAGTGGAGCATGTGAACTTAACCACCTGGAAACGGGGCGGGCCCCCAACATAATACACTTTTGAAAGGAATATAGTTTTCATTTTGAAATACTTCCCTCTTATTGATTCTTTTTCTCTCACTCTGGTAGTTTCTCAGAGAATTAGAGTAATCTTTTCTTCAGCTAATAGCTCTTATATTTACTCATGAATTCAAGTATGTGAGGTATCTGGGCGACTCAAGTAATGGGAAGAAAAGAATTTTAAATTTGGTAAATAGTAACTATTTCTAGTATTTCTATAAGGCTCCCCATTTTACTTCATGTTCTATCTTTGCAGAAAGTGGTTTGGCCATCCTCCGTGTTTCCTTGATGCACTGAGGGTTTTGATTAGAACTGGAGGCAGTCGTTGGTCAAGCGTGTCCCATGATTTCCAGGAGCACTCTGCTGGTCATGTCTGACAGTTCCTGGTCAAGCCACAGCGGCTCAGCCCTGGAAAGAGTAGATTCTGGGTTGAAGGAAACTGGCCCCAAAGTGGCCGGACTCGCTCTGATGTGGCATGGACTTGGGTTGGGGAGGTCAGGCTCTTAAGGCACGGAAACTGAAATCGCTAGCATTTGAGTGTTTCTGGTGAAGTCTTTTCAAAGATCTCATACCGTAGGCATCAATCAGCAGTTGTTGTCAGTTGACCTTTTGCTCGATGCGGCATGTTGCAGAAATTCTCTGCTGGAGGTCACAGGAAGTTCAGAGGTCTGATTGGTGGACGTGATGCCAAGCAGGAGGGCATGCAATCACCTGACAAGGCGTGGCTTGGAGATAGGCCTCCCTGGGTTGCATTTTATCCAATCAGGTAGGGAGCTTGCCGGTGACTGCAGATAGGCCGCGCTATAAATGGGCCGCCAGCCCTCAGCAGTCGCCATCGTCCTTCCTTCAAAAGACCGCCTCTGGCATGGCTGAGCCCGGCTCTGAGGCTTCCTCTGAGGAAAGCCTGGGCACCACGGAGCCCACGGAAGGCGCCCCGAAGAGCCCGAAGCAGAAGCAGCCAAGGTGCCGCCGCCGCCGCCGCCGCCACTGCCTCGACAGTTTCGCCACCTATTTCCCCAGGGTTCTGAGGCAGGTTCACGAGGGCCTGAGCCTGTCTCAGGAGGCCGTGAGCGTCCTGGATTCGTTCGCGAAGGACATCTTCGAGCGCATCGCCGACGAGGCCACGTGCCTGGTCCGCTCCACCAAGCGCTCCACCATCTCGTACGGAGAGATCCAGACCGCCGTGCGCCTGCTGCTGCCGGGGGACCTTGGCAAGCACGCCGTGGCCGAGGGCACCAAGGCCCTCATCAGATACATCAGCCGCCGCTGAGCTGCCTCAGGAGCGCCGGAGCATCGCAACCCAAAGGCTCTTTTCAGAGCCACCTCACTTGGCGGGAAAAGAGCTGTCGCCCGAAAAGGAGGGGTCTACTCTAGTTTGTTGATCTTGTGGCATTTGGCCGATACGTAGAGTATTTTTACCGCAAAGAAAACATTATCAACTCTACTGTCTACGTTTCTGAGTACAGTTTATTCCATGGAGAATCGTGGATTTTCCTTAACCCTGTTGCGTTTCATGACTTTCCTAATGGGTCATTTCTCTAGGTCAGCTTTAATGGGGGGAATTTCTGTTATACTAATATTTTCTTTTTTCACTGCCATTGCTTCACGAGTATATGGTGGAATTCCCCAGAAGTTCATTATGTGTGGTATGGCAACAGATAAAGTGCAGAAGCAGATATGAGAATCCCTCTGACATCTGTTAGGCCAGATTATGAAGCAGATGTTCAATTATCTGAAACAATGTCAATCTCCTCTCTACTTTTGGATAAAATATTTATCATGTAAATTTGTAATTTATGTTAACATGAGGCAGTGTGTTTATTATGACGATTTTAAGTTATTCTAAAATCAATGTATTGAGGCTTCTGTTCTAAGATTTTGCACGGTAAGTATGGGCAGAATGTAGCATGCATAAAAGTTCTTTGGGGTCCTTGTAATTTTTAGAAGTGTATAGTTGCCCTGAGACCAAAAACGGTTCTAGATATTTACTCACTTGTGCTGCAATCAGATCAACTGAAAATAGCCTCTTTTTCAGTGGTTAAGTCTTTTAAAAAATTCAAAGCCTAATGTTCATTCATTAAACTTTCAAATCCTAAGGCTGAGAGAAAGCTTTCTCGACACCTTCCTGACTCTAATCGGAATGACAGTGGCATTTCATCAGCAAACACGATATTGGGCTTTCATTTGAGGGCTATGTGTTCCCAATAGCATCTTTGGTTTTCCAAGCATTTTCGGTGACATAGTAGGTATCAAGCATTCACAGGTGCCATGTTAGCAACTTTTGAGATTAACATGCTTTTTAATTTTTGGCTTATTCATATAAATCATATTGATAGATTTTCCAATATTAAATCGTGCTAGCGTTCTTGGAAGGAAATCCGTTCCTCCTAGGTGGCTTTTCCTGGACATCATTTAGGTCCTTTCCTCTGCTTACTCGTGTGCACGGTCGCCAACAGGTTAGAGCTCCGATTTCTCACGACTTCCTGGCCACTTGCTTCCTTCAACAGTCCCCAAAGCCCGACTGTGTCCTAGTGCCTTCAATTTTCCAGAAGCAGCCCGGACCCAAGGCTCAGCTGGGTTCACTCTGCAGCAGGAACCTGGACTGTGGTAGAAGGCAAACCAGGGGCTTGGGGAGTGACCGTGACACTTGAGTTACTCTTTCCTTCACCTCTTTCTGTGTGAGTCTCCAACTTTCCAGGCTCCTCATGTTTGAGGCACAGCTGTGCCCGCCCCCAACTAGGGCAAGTTCTGCCTTCCAGGCATTCCTCTACCCTTCTTCTTTGAGCAGTGCCATCCCAAAGTGCTGGATTCTACTCGGAAGTTTCTTTCTTTCTTTCTTTCTTTCTTCCTTCCTTCCTTTATTCCGTTCGTTCTTTCTTTCTATCTATCTTTCTTTTCTTTCTTTCTTTCTTCTTTCTTTCTTTCCGTCTTTCTGTCTCTCTTTCTCTCTCTCTTTCTTTCTTTTTTTCTTTCCTAGGAATATTAGCCCTGAACTAACATCCACCACCAATCCTCCTCTTTTCGCTGAGGAAGGCTAGCCCTGAGCTAACATCCGTGCCCATCTTCCTCTACTTTATAGGTGGGACCCCTACCACAGCAGAGCTTGTCGAGCGGTGCCATGGCCGCACCTGGGATCCGAGCTGGCGAACCCGGGCCGCCGATGCTGAACGTGCGCACTTCACCGCTGTGCCACTGGGCCAGCCCCAAATTCTTAGTTTCTTTATTCTTATTCCCTTCTCCAGGAGAGGCTGGCTACTCCTCCCCGAAGGTCAGGCCCCCTCCTCACTCAGGGGAGCTGCAGATCATGGCCCAGCAGGTATGTCAGGGTTGCAAAAGACCTGATGTGTGAGGCTTCCTTGTCTCTGCTCTTTGTTGATAGAGTGACCATATAATTTCTTGTCCAATTAATGTGGACACTTTTGACCTAAAAGGGGCACTACGAATAACTGTGCTAGGACAACAGGGAAAATCAGGATGCGTGGACACCCTTGTAGGGAAAAGATCTGGGGGATAGAATAAGGACATCCCTTGGGGTTTGGGGATTTGCAGAGCACAAAGGTTAGTGGGAAAATGAGAGGGCATCACCTTTTTTGTGGTTTATTCTCCTTGAAGTTCTGGTGCCTTTGTTTTGTGGAGACAAGTAGCATTGCCAGGCTGCATTAACAGGGAAAAGAGCCGCGACATGGTGAGAGTGTCAGTTAGGGTCCCATAGGTGCTGTGCGCTAGTGGGACTAAGCTCTACAGCAAGAGTGATTAAGGGCACTGGTTTTGGGGTTGGATGAGACTCCCGGGTTCAAACCCCAGCGGTGCCTCTTAGTAGCTGGGGTGCCTTGGATAAGTGACTTGACCTCTCTGAACCTCCTCTGTAGAATAGGGTCTACAAGACTGTTGTGAGGACTCAGTGAGATGACGCAGACAGAGTGCCCAACGAATGGTGGCTATACTTATTCTTGGTCCTGAGATTCAGGCCCTCAGGCAATTGGAGGCGTGGGGGTGAGATTTGGTGCCAGGCAGCTGTATGGACACCCTCTCCTGGCTACCTTGGCCCCATCTGTTTGCTTAGGGCTGACAGCGAGATAAGGGAGGATGACTTTTCCCTCCTGAGCCTCACGTTGGGGAAGTTGCTCAGATAACACTCGTCTGGGTTGTGATGGGACGTTGCTAGGGAGCAATTGGAAGGTGCCTTGTTAGCTCGCTGGTGTTGGGCATTGCCGACTCAGGGCTTTGTTGGCAAGCTGTTCCTCCCCCTACCCATGAAAGCTTGGAGCCCCTCACGCTCTTCCTCTCTGAACCTATTCACCTTTAAAGCCTTGGCTCAAATCCTACCTCCTCTGTGAAGATGACCTGACCCTTGCAGCCTAAATGACTTCTCTCTCCTGGAGCCTCGGGAACTTCAATTGTAAAATGGGCATATGATGTATGAACGCCCCTAAAGAAGGGCCGTGATTAGGACTGAATGAGAGAATGGATGTAGCATGCCAGATGCAGGGTCTGGTACTGGCCTACAGTGGGACCGGCCTCTTTCTCTTCCAACTCTCTGAACTCCCACGACACACGCATCGCGGTCCTGATCAGATGCAGCCTTCCATTGGTAGTCATTCTAGAGTATGGCTGTGCTAGCTCTCCATTCAAGTGTCCTGTCACAGAGGTTGGGGGCCATGTCTTATCCTTCCTCCCCTTCCAGTATCCAGCACTATACAAATCACCGTAATAACCATGCTTTTTTTGGAGCACTTTATGATTCTATGTGGCCGGCACTCTGCGGTGTATGTTATACCCATACGTGTAGACTTTACCCTTTGCCCCTGTATTTTCCTTCCAGCACAGGCAGGCATAATTCTCCCCGTTGAGGAGAGTGAGGTTCCGAGAGGTCGGGTTAACTACTAGCCAAGCTCACATAACTAGTAATGGCATAGGCAGGAATCAAATCCCGGTTTGACTCCTATGCTAGATTAAGTTTCCAGTGAACGCCTGGGACCGCACGAATGGGAGGATGGACAGAAGAAGAGATCAGAATAGGAGTGCCGGCACCCTTACCCCTTATTAGTAGAGGGAGGCTTGCTGGAGAAAAACCTATGCGTAATAAAGATACAGGATTCAGTGGGTCCCCAAGACTAGGTAAGGGCACACGGTACCTCTTGGACAGGAAAATAGAGGGAGGCCAAGCTAAACCCCAGGGCAATTGCCCCAGGGAATTCCACAGTGGCTCCAAGTTCTCAAAAGTTAGGAGTGGGGGACCCGCTCACTGACCGTTCTCAAGGTGAACTCTAGAGGAAGCCCGGGTCAAAGGAGCCTCCTTCGAAAGGGGTTCCTAACCTAGGAACTTTTGAATTCCCCTGGAGTCAAGGCTGGGCTTTTCCCTCCGGAAGCTCCTTGGAAAAAACCAGGAGAGAATAGCAAGCATGGGTTCTATGATTAGGCGTGGAGATGAACTCTGCTGCGCTCTTGCATCAGGGGCGGTGATGGAGAGAGAGCAGAGGGATTTGCTGTTTAATTCGGCAGACCGCAAAGCTCAAGTGGCTTCAGACTGACCTGGAAACCCATCGTTACGACCTTACAGGCAAGAAGGCTGGTAGTCCTAGGCGGGACACAGTGCCCAAACCTCACGCCCTGGGCTAGAGCACTTCAGGGTCTTGGGAGTGTGCTCAGCTAGGCTTTGCCTGGTCCCGGTAGAGCTAGGCCTCTTATGGGTGAGTGCTTCAGGGGTCTATGAGCTGTCTCTTTGGTTCCGCCAGACTTTCCAGGGGTCTCACTCCAGAGGGAAAAGCCCTTCTCTGGCAGAACTCCAGGGTTTTCAGCTCTACCCCTGCCCTGGCTCCCTGAGATTCAGATTTGGGAAGCCTTAGCGAGGGAGCAGGGCACATCCGAGCTCTCCCCCTGCCCCGACTGGCCTGCCAAGGCAGCATCCAATGGCACTCCCGGCTTCTACTCACAGGACCGCTCCCCGCTGACCTGTTCGGGCAGGCGGCGTGGTGCAAGGAACAAGAAGCTGGGCTCACGTGTCAGGTGGAGCTGAGGTCTAATCCCGGCTCACCTGCTTTCTGAACTGTGTGAGGCACGGGTATTGACTCAACTGTTTAGTCTATAGGCTTCTTTCTGCATTGGTGATATAATAGTGCTTGCCTCGTAGAGTATCAGAGATCCATGAAGAGGGCTTTCACGTGCCCCCACCCAACCTTGCAGAAGGGGGAAGAATCAGCTATCAGAAAAACAAGAGGACTGTCAAATCTGTGTGAAATCATCTTTGTGAACTGTACAG